CTCCCTATCCCTGCTTACAGGGAGGGGGCAAGAAGAGGGGCTGATACACCCTGAGAGGCTTCTCCTGGGATGCAAACTGGAACTGGGGTATTGCTGAGCCCTCTTTCTTACCAGCCGGGGCTCCCTCTCACACTGTGAGAAGCTGCAAAGCCCTCCAAGCTTCCCTCACATAAACAGCAACAGGCAGAGGCCACATCCAGTTCCATTAATGAATACTCCTGCCAGTCACTGCATGAACCAACAATAGAGAGGCTCCAGCCAAAATACCCTAGTTCCCTAGCCTAGGATGCTGGAGCTGTCCTGTCCTGCCCTGTCAAAAGCCCGACCAGTATATAAGGTGTTACTCAGTCTGCCACTTCTACAAAGGAAAGTGGACATGCACCAACTTTTGTTCCTGAGCTGAGATTTTCCCCTAAGCACTACACTCAAACCACACTGTTTTAGGTAAAATGGGTATATATAGATATAGATAGATAAACTACAGAAAGATTATAAGTGATAGCAAACAGATCAAAGTAGATTACCTAGCACAAAGAAAAATGCAATCTAAGCCTAATATACTAGATAGGATTTGAATCAAGAAGTGTCTCACCCTGTTAGATAGTATAAACAATCCATCCAGGTTTCATACACAAGCAGGTTTCCTTCTTTCCTGCCTGGCACAAGCACTTCCCTAGTTCAAAGTCTTTGTTCTTCCAGCGCTATTTACAGGTGTTGAGTTGTGGGAAGAGTGAGGCCAATTGGTGATATCACCTCCCCTTTTTATAACTTTTTCCATATGGTGGGAACCCCTTTGTTCCAAGCCAAGTTCCCAACACAGTTTGTGGACAAATACAGGTACCAAAATAGAGTTCAGTATCATGTGATCTCATCACATGCCCTTGCATGCTTTGATGAGTCATGGCAGCCATTATTTACAGGCTAATTGAAGCATCCAGAGGTGAGGATAAGCTTTTCCTTGGTCCATATTCTTTGTCGATGGGCCATTCAACTTGAATATTCCATTCACAATGTGCTGGCCAGACTGGATGCAAATTACCCTGTGGGTGTTACCACAGGAGCAAACACATTTGAAATACAGGTATACAGCCAATATTCATAACTTCAGATACAAAAATGATACATTTATACAAATAGGATAATCATATTCAGCAAACGGTAACGGACACCTCACATATCTTGTATAAGATGCATCCTAATGATATCCAAATCTTATCACTATAATGGCTATGGGGTGCACTGTTACAGACTGCCCCCCATATCCTGGCTCCCACATAGGGGCCAGAGATAGGGGATAGCCCCCTGGGCCCAGCTTACATGGGGACAAGGAGCGTCTCAGACACCTCCAGAGGGGTAGTCCCCCTGAGATCCTGGTATAGACACAGAACCAGGGAACGTGGGCCTGATAGGTGCCCCCCATCTTTCCCCCTCACTCTGCCACCCCTCCATTTTAACCCCCCCCAGTGCTCCACTCCTCATCTCTACCCACTCCCCTGACCCAAGCATGCCAACCCCTCTCCCCTAGCACCCATCAACCTTTACCCCCTCCTCATAATTTCCTTTTCCCTCACTGCAGCTCCACATCCTCCTCTCCTCTACTACCTTATGCCCACTCCCCTCCCAGCAAGTGTTTGCATGTGTAACTAACTTATTTTCTTTTAAAAATAGCTCAAACACCTTCTGAATGTTCAACTGTACACAGATCACATTTTCCCCATAAAAAAACCAAAAAACAAACGAACATTTGACAGAGGCAGATTGTAGCAACATGCCTCCTTTTTTCAGATTTCTGCTTATGGTTGTAGTTGAACGCAGTACCTAGGTACACCAGTGATACCATCCCTGAAATATCCCCCTTGAGCTATGCAGGTCTTTGAATTGGGTTTCACTATCATCCTCTTCGTCTCTTTCTCTCTGCCTATGCTCAGTGTAATCCCTTTAGCGCAGGAGCATTAAGGATGACCCTAAAATGAGAGTTAAACTTTTTTGCTGCTAATGTTATGACTTTTGCTCCCCGTAGCAGGGCCCATTCCATGCGCCTGCCTTCTAATACCACAAAAACCACCCTGACTTCACTGGTTGTGTGTCCACACCATGCCATTGATTTATGTTCCCTCCACCAACAGCTCGACAGTCCCAGGCAACAATGCTGTTTGCAGTGTCCTCTGGGCTTTCTGTCCTTCCCCTTGATCTAAGAAGAGCAGAGCTCCCCCTTCTCTGAGGTCTTTATAAAACTAGGCAGCTAGACGTCTCTCCTCCCTTCATTTCCTTCTATGCCTTTCTGATCAGTCTTGAATTGATGGTCTAATTGGCTCTTTAGTAATCACAACTAATTAGATCAGTAGTTTCCATTACCCCAGTCTGCCTTCTCCGGGGAACTAATATGTGTCAGAGGCCTGGTCCCCACTAAGCCCCCACTTCGGACTAAGGTACGCAAATTCAGCTACGTTAATAACGTAGCTGAATTCGAAGTACCTTAGTCCGAACTTACCGCGGGTCCAGACGCGGCAGGAAGGCTCCCCTGTCGATGCCGCGTACTCCTCTCGGCGAGCTGGAGTACCGGCGTCGACGGCGAGCACTTCCGGGATCGATCCCAGAACATCGATTGCCTGCCGCCGGACCCTCCGGTAAGTGAAGACGTACCCAGAGTGATCAGAGCCCTGCTCACCTGTGAACTCCCAGCACGCTGTCCCACTCCCACATGAGCTACTGGGTGACAGTCACTCTGTGGATAACTGTCAAGTGACTGAGACCCTGATGTAATTACTGGCCTTGATTTGAGCCTTATCTGTGGGGGAAAATACATGGATAGAATTCATGGGCTTTAGGCAAACCATTGTTAGGGGCTGTATCTTAGGAACCCATGGTCAGTTGGATCACTAACCATCTTCAGCCGTCAGTCCCACAAAGCACACCAAATGTCAAGGCAATCTGAATGACCATGTAGATTTTAGTGGCTCTAGAAGACTCAAGTGTAAACAGAAAGCTGGTGTAAACCTTAGCTACAGCAGTCCTGACAGTCCACTATAATCCTGAGGGAAATCCCCAACGGGGCTGAGTTAATGCCTGTTCCTGTGTTTTAGGATCTTCCAGAAGAAATAAAACCAGAGATTATTTAGGACGTAGATGGGAACCAGGAAATGTACAGGTGAGAGCTGGGGCT